ATCTGATGTAATTATCGTATATGTGTTGTAAATCCTACCCTTGTGATGTGAATGAGGCAGGATTGGAGGCAGTTATGTTAATGAGGCAAGACTCAATCTACAAGATTATGTTGTATCTTGAGTCAATCTCTTTTGAGATATAAAAGACAAGCAAGCAGAGAGACAGGAAGACCTCATACTATTAAAGTAGTGTCAGGAGCAGTGTGTATCCTTTGGACCTGGGGTCCCTGTGCTGAGAATCTCCTAGACCAGGGAAAGTTTGATGACAAGGATGTTCCCCCAGAGCCAACAGAGAGAGAAAGCCTTCCCTTGGAGCTGGCACCCTGAATTCGGACTTCTAGTCTTCTAGACTGTGAGAGAATAAATTTATCTTTGTTAAAGCCATCCACTTGTGGTATTTCTATTATAGCAGCACTAGATAACTAAGAACAAAAAATATAAAGGTATATAAAATAGAAATGTTCAAAATAATACAATAATTGAATTAATTTTTCATTTAAAAATATTCCTAAAGTTATTGAAGTTTGGAACTCACAAAGTAGTGCGTCTTTAGCACCACATTTTTGTTTATTGTATCAAGTCCTTATGTTTAATACTTGAGATAGATGACTATGAATATTAATGATCATCAGCTGTTTCACATGAAATCATTCCCTTAGAATAAATAACAAATAATTTTTGAATCAGTATTGATTAAATATCTCACTAAAAATATATGTGTAATATATTAATACTATATGTAATGTGTACATAAAATATGTGTACATATATTTTGAATTTATGTATGTCCCATGTATATCAAGCTTAAAAAACATGCATTATATATGCATATTTATATATATTTAAATATGCCTAAAATGTAAGAGTAATCATTAGTAAAATAGATCAGAAATGGGATATAAAACTTCCAAACTGTAAGAGGAAAAAAATAAAAACAAAGAAAACCTGATCAGTCCAATAAAAGAAAGGAAAGGCTTTTTAAGAAAAAAAAAAAGGTGAAGAAAAAGTAAAAGCTTAAAGTTGTTGTTAGTTGCTGTCAAGTTGATTCCATCTTGTGGCTACCCCATGTGAGCAGAGTAGAACTGCTCCATAGGGCTTAACAGATAGAAAACTTAAAGTAAGGAGTCAGGAAAAAGGCCAAATATTTTAGTATTCATAATAAGTATAAAGAGCTCCTTGTTTAATAAAGCCTCATAGATTAGGTAAAAAGACACAGTTCAAATTATAATTTTTATGAACTGAAACAGAAATGTTGAAAATAAAGGAATGGAGAGAGACATAGAACAGGAGAAAGCTAACAAAAACCGGGAGCAGCATTGTTAATACAAAGGAGGAATCAAGGTCAAAAGCAATAAACTGGGTGAAGAGAAATACTTCATGCTGACAAAAGGTCATGAACCTTTAGACATTGAGGTATAAAGTATCAAAATGTAAAATTGAAAACTAAAAATTAAATTATTGAAGTATTAGCAAAAAATTAAAACTGTTGCTAATACCCAGCTTTGGTAAAGGTTTAGAGAATAGGGCACTGTCCTACATCGTTGGGGAAGAGTAGAGATAAGTCCTGCCGCCTTGGAAGGCAATTTGGCAATATCTACCAAAAAATATCAGGAGGCTTGGTAGCACAACAGTTAAGCACTCGGCTGCT